TTTTAATTTATGCAACTGGTGAAATGTTCATAATTAACCATTTCCGTCTAAACAGTTTACATGAAAAAAAAAAAAGTTTGGACTCCTCATTCATTAGGGATTTATATAAGATTCTAACATTAAATTTTATTTTTCACCGAATAGGATTGAGTGGTAGTGTATAGTGCTTCCACGCCACAAGTCTGGGGTTCTACTAACGGGCTGCGCAAGGTCGACTCTGCCTTTCATCCCCGCTACATTGGGTCGATAAATGAGTACCAAGCTTGCTTTTGGGTCTTAAACACTGAAGGTCTCTCTTCAGACAGACCACCAAATCGGGACATCTGTTCATGCACCTTAGCGTCCAATGGTCACGTGTATTATGATGGGCACAGTAGTTCCTGGCCCTCATGGATTGTTGTGCCACTGAGTTTGAGGATTACCTCACTTTAGGGATACCCCTTAGATAAACATGAATTTCCACTCATTTGCAATTAAACATTTTTCTTTCAATTACGTTTATTTCAAAAAAGAAGTTTGATTTTTCAAATGTATTTGCTTAATAACATGTATATTTGCGTATTATATTAAAAATTTGATCAATCCAAAATTACATGTTTTTAGCTCCTTTAAAAGATTTTAGGATTTTACAACTGATCTTACAATCCATATACGTTTTATAGTAGTATATTTAAAAATGATAAAGACATTTTTACGACTGTGTGACCTGTTATGCCTCGTTTATAAATATAAAAAATTGCATTCAGCTACAGTTTTTAAATGTACAGAAATAAGTGGAGAAATAGGATACTTTACATATTATGAATATTTTTGACTGTAGTAAGATATATTTATATATTTCAGTTTCTTTACAATTTGAATAGAAGTTGTAAGCCACACACACATTTTGCGAATAGTTTGATATTGAGTATAATTCCATAGGCTGTTTAATATTGTAAAGTGTTTTACTTTGATACCAGCACACATTAAAATAAGGCTCATTTGCAGTTATATGATCAGCTTCAGTGATATTTAAATTTTCAAAAATAGTCTACACGTAAGAAAACATTCTTTCACAACCGCACACCACATCTCTCATGCTATATCTTCCCTACAGCAGGAAATATGTGTGTATACTGAAAAATTTAATACTGGATACATTTCCAAGTGTTAAATTTGTTTTTAAAATTTGGTATGAATACATTGTGGAACTGTCGGTTAACTTCACTGAACAAAATTGTTTAAAGTGTACTGTTTTGAAAGACAAAATTAATTAGGGAGAACTTTTCTCACAATAGAATTTGTAATGACTGAATTGTGTGAAAATGTAGTTATCGATGTGTGACATTTTTCCTTGTAAATAAAAAAAACAGAAAGATGAGAAATTTAACTTGAGTAGAAAATGGTTAGAAGTACTGTCATGAGCATTTGAAGAAGTATATCTCCCATTAAAATTAAAAATTATTGACTGAATGTGTGTTATGTCCATCACAAATGACGATGTAGAAAAGGAATTTTTATTTAATACAAGAAGTTCGAAAAAGAGAACACTAGGAAGGAAAATTTAAATTTTTTCGAAAAATATTCAGTTAACATAAAAATATTTTTATATTTTTAATTAAAATAAATTAAAAGTATTGAAATCCTTTTTTATGCTATTTTAAATTAAAAATATAACTGAATAGAGAAAGATCGGTTTTATTTCATAAATATAATCATCGTATTTAATATTTATTGTGTTATTGTTTAAAAATGAGATAGGGCCTTTGCTCTTTTTACCTCATTACTTTTTAAAAACAGGAAAGTGAGCGCGTTTTCTTACTCTCATATTCAAAATGAATACAGGATGCTTTTTTCTGGTTCAAATCGCAATACCAAAATATTTTTTTTTAATTTTTAAAAAATGACAGAAAAATAAATTTTGTTTGAAGAAAATATAACTATTTTTCAACTTTTAACACGCCATTTATTTCATGTTTTTTTTACCCTTCATTTTGTTTTAATTTTACTGTGACTGAACATATAGGATAAAGAAACTCTGAATTCCACTACGCTTTCAAAGAAGATTGCCCAAGGCAACTTAATAGCTAGCTGTAAACGATTGATCTCTTGGTTCTTACTTTACAAAGGGACCGAACTGGGTCGTAAAATTGTCCCCGTTCAACCTCCCTAGTTCTAAAAGGGGGAAAGGAAAGAAGTCTGTTGCATTTTTAAAGCGAACTTCAAAATAAGAATTAAACGCTTTCGGAATAACTTTTCAGGAGGAAGGTATCCAGTTAGAGGGTTAATAACAGCCCGAAAAAAGGGGAGCTGAATTTCCTCGTATTTGGATACTGGAACTCTTCATACACAACAAGATCACCTGGTTTGAATTTTTTTCAATACAACGAGCATCATATCTAATCTTAGTTTTAATGTGATAAGCTATTGTTTTCGTCAAGGCAAATTCACGTGCTTCATCAACAGGTGCATATTAATTATTTTAATCTATAGGTGATTGATATGACAAGAGACCAAATAGCAAGTATGCTGGTGGGTATTTAGTTATTGAGTGTGGAGTTGAGTTACATTAATTTCACACTTGGTCTAGTAGTTTAGTCCAAGGAATTTTACTAAATGAAGCATTTACCATATTTATTAAATGAAGCATTTAAGTCTAGGAACAAGAGATTGATTGACACGTTCATTTTTACCATTTGTTTGAGGGTGATGAGCTGTAGTTAACAAATGTTTAGTATTATAATTTCTAAGGATTTTTTTTATATCTGGAAGAAGTAAAGGCTTCATTTCTATCACTTAGTAATTTTTCAGGAATTTGGATTTGAAAGACTTGTTTTAAGATGTTTGCATAGAGGTTTCAGAATTTTCATTTTTTTGAAGGAAAAGACCACTCATATCTTGCTGCATGGTCAATCACAATGTGCAAAAATATTTTTGTAGAATTATAATAATTAAAACCTCCAAAACAGATATAAACTCAAAAGGTTTACTGGTAGGTGGAACTTGTTGCAATAACCCAAATTTATTGTGTTTCCTTTTTTGGTTAAGATCACATACCATGCAATGTTTAACAAATTCATTAATATCAGTTGTAATGTTAGGCCAATAGTATTGAAGTGAAATTAATTTCAACATGTTTTGAACACCAGGATGACCAAATTTCTCATGAGCTTGATTCAACAGTTTTAATATTAATTAAATGGAATAACTATTTTATGTAAATTTTTCTTTTTAATTACTATTACATCTTTGACCTCATGGTATTTAGGTCCGTAAAAGTTATCATTCTTTTGATGCGTTTTAATTTCATTTATGTCAAGCAAATGACTTGAATATTGAAGGTGATGAACAAACAGATGCCTGGATAACATATCTACTTCAATGTTAGTAGAACCCTTTAAATATTTAATTTCATAAACATACATACTTAGCTTTAATGACCAGCAGAATAATCGACCTCTTAAATTTTTAACATGTTTTAGCCAAACTAGAGCTGCATGGTCAGTATGTATGATAAATTTTGGCCATGTAAGTAGTAATAAAATTTATCTAAAGCATCTCTATTATTGCAAAGCATTCTAATTCAGTTATAACATAATTTTTTTCTGTAGTTTCTTAAGGTTCTAGAATCATAAGCAATGGGGGGAAAGAAATTTGAGGCATCAGGTTGTTTCAACATAGCTCCAACACTTTTTTGTGATACATCAATAAAAACATGACAAGTTAAATGAGGATCATACAAATTTAAAATAAGTTTCCTTATTAAACTTTCTTTTAGTTTTTCAAATGCTTTTTGACACTCATCAGTCGAATTAAATTTCACATCCTTTTTAATAACATATTTAATGGAAATCTAAGATTAGTATATTCTGGAATAAACATATGATGCACATTTATTGAACCCAAGAACTTTTGGAGTTCTTTTACTTTACCTTGGCTGTTTCAACTCTTTGATAATGAAGATATTAGTATTGTTTGGAGTTACTCTATCCCCCCTTCCCCGTTCTATCTCATAACCCAGAAAGTTAATTTTAGTTTGTGCAAAGAAACATTTTTATATAATTTCAATTTAATACTTTCTTTTTCGCAAATGTCAAAAATTGTCTTCAGATGATTCCAATGTTCTTTTTCTGACGAAGTAAGACTATGATATCATCGAAATAATTGGAAGCAAAATCAATTTTATACTTAGTTAATATTCTTCAAATTAATCTGTTAAAAATTGCAGGGGCTACCTTAATTCCAAATAGTAATCTGCACCATTCATATAAGCCAAAGTTAGTGCAGAAAGCGAGTTTTACAGTATCCTTTGGGTGAATGGGTACATGCCGATAACCGGATGTTATGTCTAAAAATGAAAAAAAAAATTTGCTCGAGCTAATTAGTCTAATAAACTATCCATAATAGGCAAAGGTTCAGAATCCGCTTTTCAAAAAGTATTTAATTTTCTGAAATCTATACAAAGTCTGGTCTTTTTACACACACACAAGCTTTTATTTAACTTACAATGTAAAATGTTTGAGGGGAATCTTGCAACTATATTTTGAAGCTGATGTCCTCAACCAATTGAGCTGATTTTGTATACATGTTTAGTTTGGATGACAATGCATGTTTTGACCATTTATATTCCGATATAGCAAGTAGTTAAAAAGATATTAATTAAAGTAATTTGTTCGGATGGAATCATGCAACTCAATATTGAAGCTGATGTCTTCAACTCATTGAGCTGAAATTTGGTATACACGCGCTTAATTTGGATGACAATGCATGTTACGACCATTTATATTCCGATATTGTAAGTAGTTAAAAGATATGAATTAAAGTAATTTATTCGGGTGGAATCTTGCAACTCAATTTTGAAGCTGATGTCTTCAACCGACTGCGTTGAAATTTTGTATACACATTTAGTTTGGATGGCAATTCATGTTTTGACGATTTATGTTCTGATATCGACCTAATTATTGTAACGCTCTAGTTCAGGTGTTAAGACGAGCATGTTTACAATAACACAGGTGCCGACCGGGAGCGTAGTTCAGATGATAGAGTGCTTGCTTAGAATGCGAGAGGAACGGGGATCGGTACCCCGGGCCTCCAATTATTGTTTTTTAGTATAAACACTTCTTATAAGCACATTTTAGTAAAACACTTATTATATACTCATCGACCAAAAACTTAGCGCGCCAAGAAAGAATCGGGAAATGAATCGAAATAATTCCATATACGTGATGACTACTTTGATATAAGTAAATGAGTAAGAAATCAAAGAAAAAGGATCATTTAATTCGGAGAAGAAGGCAAAATGACGGAGGATTTTTTACCCTGTTGAATTTCCTCTAGCGCGAATGCACAATGCGATGCGATCGGGCATTGAGACATACAAGTTCTATATGATGTCTTGAGACATTTCGTTCCATATTTGCTGTAAACTTGCCTCTATTTCGTTTAAAAATAGGATGTCCAACTCTCCATGCCAAATGATGTCTGATATGCTCGATTGAAGACAAACCTGGGGATCGGGCAGGCCAAGGAAAGATTGTAACCGTCCTGAGATAGCCTTGTGACACCCTTGCCGTGTGAGGCCGAGCAATTTCCTGTTTAAAATGGCTCCTGGGAGCATGAGTGGCAATACATGTGGTTGCAGAATGTCATGAACATACCGCTGCGCTGTCATGGTGCCACGGATCAATTCTACGAATGACCGTGTATTGTAGGCAATAACACCCCATACTATCACACCAGCTGTGGAAGCCGTGTGTCGCTGCAAAGCGAAGGCAGGATTGAGGCGTTCACCACAGGGTCTCCACACACGAACACGATTGTCGTCACTTCTGAGATTGAATCTGGATTCGTCGCTAAAGACGACCTGGTTCCATTCCGCTGCAGTCCAGTTTCCTAGTACATGACTCAACTCCAAAACGGTGGCGTCCATGGGGGGCGTCAAGGTTAGCACACGTAATGAGCGCGGGATCCCAAATGTCCTTCTCCCAGGCGCCTTCGTATGGTTCAAGAAGTCACATGGTGAAGGAGCTACCTATGCCTGGATACCGGCCGATGAAGCAGTTGGCTGTACGCTTGCATTTCTTACGATACGATAAGGCGTAATGGCATGTCTCTTTCAGCTCTTCCTTTGTAAGCGATTCAGCACACCCAAGCAAACTTTATTTGCCTGTTTTATATTCCACAGAGAACGACATTAAACGCCCTCTACCGGCTATAAGTAATGCGCAATCACACGGCATTTCTAATCATTTGCGTATATCTCCACAACATTTACCTTCATGCCAAGTTTCGTTACGATACCGCAATTATCTCTTGGTGCGCTAATTTTTTTTGTCCATGAGGTTACATTGAATAATATATGCGTAGAATAGCATATATATATATATATATATATTTAAATATATAAAAACAACCACAATTATCAATTGAAAAATTGAAATATATGAATCCTATAATACCAAAACACTTCAGAATATCAATGGCGAATATAAAAGATAATATTCCATCGTTTTCAAACAAAATTAAAAAATTATAAAATAAAATAAAATAAAATAAAAATTTATAAAATATCCAAGTGCAATCTCGGACATAGGACCGATAAGTGGGGTTAAACTAATTTGATGGCGCCAACCTTCCCCCTATTGCAACTTGGTAAGTTAATTGGAAAATATCCAAATTTCAAAAAAAAATTAAATTAAAAAGTTAAAATTAAACCATTATACTTTAAATTAAAAAGTTAAAATTAAATCATTATACTTGAAAAATAAAACTATTCGCCATCGCATTCTGAAAGATATTACAATATTAAAATTTAAAAACAATTTAGTGCATAATATAAGTAAACCATCAAACGCCCAAGATGATGCACCCGTCTTTAAAATAGTTGTATAGGTAGAAAAAATAAATATTTGAGATCCGAAAGTTCAAATTAAAAATTATCTAAAATCAAAAAGTTCAAACTAAAAAATCCGAAAGTTCAAACTAAAAAATCCGAAAGTTCAAACTAAAAAATCCGAAAGTTCAAGCTAAAAAATCTGAGAGTTCAAGCTAAAAAATCTGAAAGTACAAGCTAAAAAATCTGAAAATTCAAGCTAAAAAATCTGAAAGTTCAAGCTAAAAAATCTGAAAGTTCAAGCTAAAAAATCTAAAAGTTCAAGCTAAAAATCTGAAAGTTCAAGCCAAATAATCTGAAAGTTCAAGCTAAAAATCTGAAAGTTCAAGCTAAAAATCTGAAAGTTCAAGCTAAAAATCTGAAAGTTCAAACTAAAAAATCCGAAAGTTTAAACTAAAAATTTCTAAGAACCGAATGTTCGCATTAAAAACACAGTATATTCACAAATGAATAGAGTAAATCACTAAAAACTCACCAAAGAGTATCCCATCAAGAATACGATCCGTTTCTTATAGCACGACTTTTCATATTTAATATATCAATTACGACTTCATATTTTGCTCATAACATCTAACCAATGCCATGTCATTCAAACGATTCTTGATCCAACACTAGAGTTTGACCACTTGGCATTAGATGCAAACCAGACATGTAAAAAACTTGTAAAAAACTTGCTTGATTGATTGGTCATAAATGTGTGATTGGACATATATATAAATGTTTAATTGGTAATAAATAATTTTAAAGTGTAGTCGTGTAAATATTGTTCTAAGTGTGTGTGTGTATTAAAATGTATATTAAAATATATCCTCTGTGTGTGTGGAATGCACAAATTCTTCACAGCTGGACCACTAACAAGCTGACTTTGTGGACCTAATGTTGTGTGGTGGATTTGTGCATTTACGAGTTAAAAAATATCTTTAAGAAATATTTCTGATCTATATATTTTCTCAGGAAGTTGATGGGATAATCATTTTGTATGCAACATAATATAAATTTCTGGATATTTTTGAATTTATCAATATTGTGCGTAGTTAAATTATTATTTCTCATCAGAAAATTTAAAATTATATTTCTAAATACTGATGTATGTAGACAACTATTGAAGTTTGGTATCTTTATGACATTGAATTTAAATGCTTTCCTTTTATCAAAAATATTGCTATATAATTTGTTGTCAATAACAGTTAAATCCAAATCTAAAAATTCAACTTTGTTTGAGTTAAAATTCGTCTGTATTAATTTTAGGTATTCTGGATAAAAATTAATGTTATGTTTAAATTCCCTATCATGACCTATAACAATTAAGTCATCTATGTATCTTAATAAGAGGCAAGAGGGTTCCTTTATTCGAATTGATTCATAATGGTGTAAATACAGGTTAGCGAGACTATTACTGGCTGGGCCACCCTGAGGCAATCCTTTGATTTGTTTATAAAGTTTGTTATCAAAAATAATGAAGTTCTCCTGTATAACAAAACGAATAAGTGTATTGAACTTTTCAAAACTAATGTAATTATTCAAATCATATTTCTCATATGCATCTGAAAGTACCTGAATTATATCTTCTATTTTAATGGAGTTAAATAAATCTTCGAAGTCGAACCCATTCACAGAAAATACCTCTTCTTGATCAACTTTCTTTATTACATCATGGCTGTTTTTTATAATAGAAGTATCCTTAAATTTGTCTATTGTATCTTGTAATATGGTCTGTAAAATTCTTCCCGATTTTGATATATAAGTATTGAACCCATTTGTTACACTGCGGAATTTGATTGGATTCTTATGAAATTTAGGAGTCAGAAATATATGGGGATATAAAATTTTATTGCTAGAGAGAGAGAAATATTTAATTGTTTACCAAATGCCAATAATCTGTTGTTAATTTCTTTCATACTAAATTTACTTACATCATATGCATTATTATTTTGTATATGATCATTTATTAATTTACTATAATAATATTTACACATAATTGCGTAATTTCCTGGGACATTATCTACATAAACAATCACAAAGTGTTTTTGTAAGTTTTCTATTGGTCCCTTAATTTTTCTATAACAATCTTCATTTTTTTGTTCTAAAATTAAAATTCATTAAGTCCTTGAGGACATGAAAACCATATTCTTTGAAAGCCTGAGTAGGTAAATTATATTTAATTGCAACATTTAGAATAAATTTATTAATAGTTGTTATATAGTTAAATTATATAGTTATATAGTTATATTAATAGTTAAATTTATTAATACTGATAGTTGTTTTCTCACATTTAAATTGCTGTTTGAATTTGTCAATCGATAACCAGTACCTTTGCTCATAATTTCTCTTAATTTCTGTGTGTGTGTGTGTGATCCTGTACTATTTCTAAGTTGCCAGTTATTACGTGCCCATGATATTCGTCTACGTAATTCTTGTATTCATTGCAACCACATTCTTTTTTATCTACCAATTCCTTAATACTATTATAGTTAAAAATTGATCTACTAATTTTTTTATTATACTTGAACGCTCGTTTTATTAACACATTTTTCATCGGGAATAAATCCATGTGTTTCCCAAATATTTCAGAAAATTGTATCCCATTATATGATTTATTCATGTATAGAAAAGTACAATATTCTATATTATAAACCTCCTTAGAGTCTATTTTTATTTTTAATCTGTTTGTAATATATTTGCATAAATCCATTACCAAGTGTGATCCATGATTATCTTTTAATCTAATACTTTTTAATAAATTTAAAACTATTATTATTTCCTGTTTATTAAGTCCAAATAAAAAACACTTTATTTTTCCAACACTAAAACTATTCTCAAAGTCTTGTAATAAATTATTTACTTCTTTTTAACTGTATCTATATCTCTATTTTCTCTCTTTTTGCGTCCACCCTTACCAACCCTTTTTCTCTTATTACTATTATTTCTACTATTATAAATAGATTCTTTATCATTTTGTTTCACTGCCCCTGTATTAAATTTTTATTATTCCATATTACATTCAATCCGTAAGGATACATAGCATTATAAATACCAATGTAAACGTTTTCATACCATAGTCTATTTATCTTATTTGGAACAATTTTAATAATATTTAACGCAACACCTTCAAAACCATGTTTATTAAAATGTTGTATTTCTATTCTTCCTATATTTTTTGTTGATGTATTTTTTCCAATGTCGGATCTATGTTGGTTGATTC